TCATCCTCCGAGTTCTGAAGCTTCTCCTCGTCAGAAACCTGGGGTCTCTCCTCGTCATCATCGGACTGGTCCAGCCTCTCCTTGCTGTCAGAGATCTGCGCCCTCTCCTCATCGTCCGAGTTTTTCTCTTCGTCGTCGGAATGCTGAATCTGCTCCTCGTCGTCTGAATTCTGGAGCTTCTCGTCCTCGTCGGACTGATCACTTTTATCCTCTCTGTCCCATTTCTCGTCCTCCGAATGGACTTTCTCGGACCCTTCAGCCTCGGAGCGATGGCTGCCATCATCCGATCTGCGGTCCTCCTCGTCTTCCTCGTCGTGCGCAGGTTCTGAGCCGCTGTGCTGCTCAATGTCCGACTGGTCCTCGTTGTCCTCGTGTTCGGAGTGCGCCGAGCCTTCAGAAGGATTGTAGGATCGTTCAGACTGGTTGTCGCTGGCGCTGTGGTGAGAAACACCCTCGTCCTCACTGTCTTCCCCGAACAACTCTTTGTTGCTGGGCTTTAACGCATCGTCCTCTCTGTCGCTCTCGCTGCCGGAAATGTTGCTAACTGAGCCGGTGTTCTCCCGGTCCGAATCCGAGTCAGATCCAGAATCAGAGTCTAGCCAAAAGACAGAGAAAACCACAGTATTAATCAGAGAACAAGGATCAGATTTCTTCCAAAGCAAACATAACAACACCACTTTGCAATGACAGCCTTCCTTCTACCTGAAGGAAAGCATACTCCAGTGATGGCGAACCTTTTGGAGACCGAGTGCCCAAACCGCAACCCAAAACCCATTTATTTATCGCAAAGTGCCAGGGCCTCATCAGCATTGTGGTGCCCTTGGTGGGGGCAGGGAGGCGCCTCTGAGTGCCGCTTCTGGCACGCAAAAACCGGGGTTACAAAAATGGGCCACTGTGCTGCAAGGCACAAAAACGGTGGCCGCTGCATCGCGGGGTGCAGATACAAGGCGTTGCACCACGTAAGAACGGGGAAGAGCTAGTATCACACAGACACTAGCCCCGCCCCATTTGCAGAAGGTGCTTGCTCGCGGCCCCGTGCATGCATGCATGTATGCAAAATGCTTCCCCTTCCTTTTCTTCCAGTCCACCAATCGACAATGGTTGGTGACCTCTGCTCTACCACCTCTACTCGAGTTTGCTAGTCGGCCGCTTCGCCTCCTTTGTGCTGGGTGGGGCTCCTGCTCCGGGCGACGGTGGCGGCCATGCCAACAGAGAGGGCTCTGAGTGCCGCCTCTGGCACGCGTGCCATAGGTTTGCCACCACTGGCATACTCTATTCTCAGAAGGGGGGAAAATATTAATAGAGAAAATATTAAATGATGCCAGGGTGTGTTTCAGCACAGTACAGGTAGTCCTCGACTTACAACACTTCATTTAGTGACCGTCCAAAGCTACAATGGCACTGAAAAGAAAGTGACTTATGACCGTTTTTCACACTTGTGACCATTGCAGCATCCCCATGGGCACATGGTCAAAATGTGCCCCGTGGGCACATGCTTGGCAACTGACTCATATTTACGACGAATGCAATGTTCCCGGGGTCATGTGATCTGCTTTTGCAACCTTCTGACAAGCAAAGTCGATGGACAACCAGTTTCAGTTAACAACCGTATTACTCATTTACCAACTGCAGTGATTCACTTTACAACTGCGGCCAGAAAAGTGGTAAAATGGGGCAAAACTCATTTAGCGAGTGTTTCGCTTAGCAACAGAAATTTTGGGCCCAGTGGCGGTTGTAAGTCGAGGACCCCCTGTATAAAGAAACGGAACCAAGATCAAAGAGGAGACGGGGTACCAGATATCTGAACAGGCAAAGGAGGAAATAGACAATTGGAAAAAGCCACAAATGTGAGGGAAACCTGCCAGAAATGTACTTCCACGTGCCTACTACACGTATATCAAATTAAATCTCCCAGCCCCAGAAAGACTGGTTTCCACAATTGCAGTATTTTCCCAATAAAACTTTCCGACGCTGAACCAAATTTTATTATTTTTATTCTGCCTTTTTTTTAATAATATAACTCAAGAAGGTGCACATGCCTAATACTGTTGCCTGCTAACAAGAACCCTGAAAGGTGGGTTAGTAAGGCCCTCTGCACATGCTCAGAGGAAGGAAGGAAGGAAAGAAGCAGAAGCTGTGACTGCTCCAACAACTGGAAGTTTTAAAGAAGAGACTGGATAGCCATTTGTCTGAAATGGGATAGGGTTTCCTGCCTGAGCAGGGGGTTGGACTAGATGACCTCCAAGGTCCCTTCCAACTTTATTATTATTATTATTATTATTGTTGTTGTTATTATTATGAAGAGACTGGACAGCCATTTGTCTGAAATGGGATAGGGTTTCCTGCCTGAGCAGGGGGTTGGACTAGATGACCTCCAAGGTCCCTTCCAACTTTATTATTATTATTATTGTTGTTATTATTATGAAGAGACTGGACAGCCATTTGTCTGAAATGGTGTAGGGTTTCCTGCCTGAGCAGGGGGTTGGACTAGATGACCTCCAAGGTCCCTTTCAACTTTATTATTATTATTGTTGTTGTTGTTGTTATTATTATGAAGAGAATGGACAGCCATTTGTCTGAAATGGGATAGGGTTTCCTGCCTGAGCAGGGGGTTGGACTAGATGACCTCCAAGGTCCCTTCCAACTTTATTATCATTATCATTATTATTAGCAAGCAAGCAAGCCCCGGTGCACGTCAAGAGAACCCCGAACAATTCCCGAGCGGCATTTCCAAATTGGGGAGGGCTCCCGCGCATGCGCGACCTGCTCCCTCGCCCCACTCCCCCCCCCACACCTTTTTGCTCCGGTTCCGTGTCGGCGTCGCTCCCGAAGAGCTCCTCCATGTCCGCCATGCTGAGGAAAGCCCAATTCCCAGGACAGAACCGCGGAGTCGGCGCTGGGCGATCCCGGAAGTGGCGCTGCTTGGTGACGTCACCGGGCCGCGACCGAACTCTTCCGTGAGCGGAAGAGGCGGGCTTACTCGCAGCGATTTATTCTCCCTCGCTGTAATTCCTGCAGGGCGTCCCGCAATTCTTTAGTCTTGCTCTGAAAGATGGACGTGGGAATTCGTGTTTCCATGAGAGGGGTTAAAAAAAGGCGGCCAGTGGCTTTGCCAGCCTGCCACTATTTTAGGGATGCACCTCTTGACTTTAATGTATCTATGGCAAAACGTTCCTCGTTTGGGATAAGCGGCCAATAGGAAGTCGCTTTCCATAGAGATAAATTTGTAGACTCACCCAAGTAGTGTTGAAATATAAAATAATAAAGCATCCGTAAAAAAAAAATTTTTTTTTCCTCCACGCTAGCTTGAATTTGACAGGGACTCAATTGAAAGAAAAGGAGTTTTAGCTCTGCTGTTAATTGGATAACAGGCACAAATTCAATACACTAAACTTCATGAAATCTCTTTGTACGTTGTCCATTGCTCATTCGCATGGGAAATCCAATCCCTCCCATTTCTCCAGTCCTTTATGAATCCATTGGCGATGTGGTTGCCAGGTGTCCACTATTTGAGTGGACAGTCCGCTTTTTTCACATTATGTTCACTATTTTTTTTCACAAAATAGTGGGCATTTTTTTTATTCAAAAGCTTTATGATGAAATGGTACGTAATCTAAAGCTGTACAGTCTACTTTTTTTACTACTTAACACCCCCCCCCCCCGCTTGTCCACTATTTTTTGGAAGCAGACCTGGCAACCCTAGCGATGTCCATTTTGCTCTCCCGGTTCATGGAGACCTAACCTGACCCTAAGTGGGTTTGTCCCCCAATGAGATTTTCCCATGTATTTTACCAGGAAACATAGATAGGGTGGACTCCAAAACTCAACACCTTCCTAAACATACCAATGCGTTAGGAATCCATTGGCAATGTCCATTTTGCTCTCCCAGTTCATGGGGACCTAACACTAACCCTAAGTGGGTTTTCCCCCTATATTTTACCAGGAAATAAAGATAGGGCAGGCTCCCAAACCCAGCACCGTCCTAAGTATACTGATGCACTACGAATCCATTGACGATGTCCATTTTGCTGTCTGAAAGATTCAGGAGCATGACTGAAATCATATTAGGCATGTGGAAGTCAAACACAAATAGGCTGATCCCTGGATCCAAGTATGACATGTTAACTCTATATCAGGTAGAAACCAAGCCACATTGAAGGGCAAGGAAATGAAATGTTCTCCGATTTCAGAAATTGCACACTAATATCAAGGACATATACTATCGTACAATAAAACCAGTGTTTTTCTAAAAAAAAAAAAAAAAGGTTCCAGAACTCACACACGTCATACAACCCGCCTTGCCTACTCTACAAGGTTTCATCCAAAAAAGGTGCCGGAACTCCGTTCTGGGCGTTCTATGAGAAAAAAAGCCCTAAGTAAAACTATCTCTCATATTTGGCTATGTCAGCAAAGCACCAGAAATTCAAAAAGTAAAACTGCTCAAGCACACATAATGCCATGAAGGAGACTTGAACACAAGTTCAAGATTGCAATAGTTTCTTTAAAAAAAAAAAGTTGCATCCAGTAATGGACATACCCAATTATATATATAAAAAAGCAAAATATATGTAGCTGTCCTTCAAAATGTTTTTGGAAACAGAGATCTGACATTAAATAAAGCTGGTGCTTCCTCTGTGAATCCTATTTTATATACAAAATGGGTACAACTGCCCCTGTTTTATGTTACTGCTGCTATTTCATTGCCTTCCTCCTCCTTTTCCCAAGGCCAGCAGCAGGGGTTTTTTTTAGCGATAGTTGTAGTGCAAGACAACATTTTACAGTGATAACCAAGTTTGTGAAAGCATCTCTTTATTTCCAACTGTTGCAAGGATTTTTAAAAAAGACACGTTTATCATTTTCAAACATTTTTATCATTTAAAAACATTTTTTATCATTTGAAGTTGAACCAGGGGTCCCCAAAGAACAAGTTGGAATTGTGGACAACCTCAGCTTAGTAAGTTCAAGAAATATACAGGGTTCTTTTTTCTTTCTTTTTTTTGACAAGCGAAAATAGGAACGAGAAACGCATTGGGATTCCTAATTTATAGCTTTCCCACCAAACCATAAACTTGATTTGGACATAACGGTAAGCATTTGCTGGTTAGCAAGCAAGAGTAACAGAACAGCACTTCCTATTATGCTTGTTCTCGAGTAAACCTTAAATTTTTAAAATCCCGAACTCGCCTTTTGCTGCAAATGAGTCCAGGGTGTGTCATATCATTATTTTAAAATGAAGGATTCTTCTTGCATACTCAGTTGAGATAATGCCTATTATGGGATGGCTCCAAGAGAGCTTTGCCATGTTAGATCCTTTCCAACAGCCATCAATGTGCTTTATCATGGAGAATGTCCTAAGATTCCACCAACATGACCAAAGCATTTGGGGAAATTAAAATCTGAATTCCCAACAAAGCCTGGGATTAATGCTCAGCTAGGGGTGACAGGACATGTTGGGAGATTCAGAACGGATACCTTTCTCTGACCCAGCAGCCTAGCCGTAGGCACACATCAGGGGGAGCTGCAATAGCGTCTCAGATTGTGGCTGGCTGGAACGTGTGAAATTTGTAGGAAATCTGAGTCACAAGATATTTTCAACCCACAGAAACAGGGCTTATGAAGCACTGATGGACCGGCACGTTGTGTTACAGCTTAGCAGCCAGGGTTTGATATGCTGCAATTTATATACACAAATATATTTTCTCTCTCTTTCTCTCTCTGCCTCTCTCATGCACATTATTTAAATACCAAAGTAGCAGAACCCAACGCAAAGCTGATGAAATAGGAAAAAAAAATTTCTATAAATACATACAGTCTGGACATGACAGAGCATCCAAATACATACAGTCTGGACATGACAGAGCAAAATGAGGACATACCCTGTTCTGCAAATTCACAGAGAAATAAGCTGCCCAGGTGGGGAAGATTTAAGGCACCCAGCACCAATTTTGCCAACTGAGCTCACCACGAAGAGGAAAAATAAGCAGCAACCGAAGCACCCTTAAATCTTCTTACAGCAAAAAAATAATAATAATTGCTGTCTTCAGGAAAGCATTTCGAGTGGGCCAGAATGGGGGGAACAATAGAAATATTACCGACGTGCATCACTGGTAGTTGAAATCACCATTTCCCTTTTGTTTTTCGGAAAAATTTCCCTCCACGACACACACAGAAACACGGGTTTGAGGCCTCCGGGCTTATCTTAGAATTCCGTATTTCCTATCGGATTAGTTTCTCTCAGGGAATTGACACCGTCTGCCCCCTTAAACAGTAGCTGTTGACTCTGCAGCTTCCGTGCCACCCGTGTTAGAGTTGGCATTAGTCTATCCTTGGGTCCCAACTCCTGAAACAAAAAGGAATCAGCCTCGGGACAGACGGGGCTGGCAGGTTTTCACATCGTGTATTGGACACCAGCACTGGTAATATAACTTTATCAAATATATATATAGAGAGAAAGATATATATATATATATATATTTATATATATATTTACACGCTCATCCATATGAACAAAAAGAGGAATGCTGATTCCAGTCTTTTCCCTTCTATGCAAGTAAGAAAAAAAATCTTGGGGTTGCCGAATCCCAGGGGAAGTGGGGCGCCCTTCACGGAGGTCCAGAATCTCTCCTCTTTTGCGCTTCTGACGGCCTGGAGGGTTCATGGCTGGTCACCTTCCACTCTTCGCTTGCGAACTGTCCAAAGGAGGAGGGGACGGAGCAGAGGGACAAAAAAGAGAAAAGTGAGAGTTAACTTTGGTGGGAACTCATCATGTTCCGTTCATCGGAAGGGAGGGATCACAGGTAGTCCTCAAACTTATAACCATTCATTTAGTGAAGGTTTGAAGTTACACTGAAAAAGCAGCCTACCACCGGTCCTCGCGCTTACGACGGCTGAAGCGTTCCCAAAGTCGCATAATTGAAATGTGGGAGCTTGGCAACCAGTAGGTATTGGCCACGGGGTCCTGGGCTCTTGTGATCCAAGAGGGAAGTTGGGTTTGCTTAACGACCGTGTGATTCACTTAACAACCACAGGGATTCAAGGTCATAAAAATGGGTGTGACTCACTTTTAACCATCCCCTTTTGCTTAGCAATGGAAATCCTGTCCCCAAATGGACTCATAATGTCGAGGACTGCTTGTAATCAAAACCAATGGGATATTTTGGGGGGGGGCTATACCCCAGAAGGACAAGGAAATGGATGGAGCCGGGACAAAGAAAACCAAGTTAGTTTTAGTTCAGCTTTAAACAAAAACACCGTTAATGTTTAAACAAAAATGCTGTTAATATTTAAGATCAACAAAAGCTCAACATGAATTCCTATTTTCCCCTCTTCGCCATCATTAAATGTACCAATTCAGGGGTCACCTTTGCAGTGATTTGGGAGAACAGCACTCTACCGTTAAGCCCCAGGAAAGCTCCTGCATCTGTACACTCTGCCACCCATGCTCCACAGCCCTGCCATGCCAAAACCACGACGCCAGGAGCAGCTGAAACCGCTCCTGAACAGGAGAGTTGTGCAGGAACAAACGACAGAAAAAAGCAGAAGGAAAAACGCATGCAAGGCTTGTGAGAGGGAAGCGTGCAGAGACACAATTAGGCAACCTTTTCAAGAGACTTTTGTCCCTTAGCGCTTAATACCAAGTGGACATTTGAAACAACCCCTTCAGAAGCTTCAGGGCTGAAGAGATGCAAGGAGATCGGCAGAGGTGTTTACTCCCAGGCGCCAGGCTAAAGATGGAAGAAGAAAGGGGGGGAGGAAAGAGCAAAGTACTAGAGAGATTCCACAGTCCTGGAATTTGGGAGATGCAGAGAGGAGAGGAGCAGAGCAGAACGGGTCTCAGAAGCTGATAATTAAATCCCAAACAAACAAACAAAATAGATTATTTTGCTTTCCAGTTCAGAACGGTTGTGTTAAATCAGGGGTAGTCAACCTTGGCTCTTTTATGACTCGTGGACTTCAACTCCCAGAATTCCTGAGCCAGCACAGCTGGCTCAGGAATTCTGGGAGTTGAAGTCCACGAGTCATAAAAGAGCCAAGGTTGACGACCCCTGTGTTAAATGGTGGAATAAGTTCAGTGTCCTCACTCAGGTGTCCGTCTTTCAGCTCATTCGAACGAGATGGGCATGAAAAGCTGCAGGCCTGTAGGGTGCCACTGCTCTGGCCACAGCTGTGAGCTGTAATTCAATGCTCTCACCAAGCATGATTTTTCATGTCACCTGAACTAGGACACTAAAGGGATTACTTTTGGAATGAATCTATCGGTCAGTGATGGTGAATCTTTTAGAGACCGAGTGCCCAAACTGCAACCCAAAACCCACTTATGCATCGTCAGGTGCCGGGTGGGTGTGGCCCATTGGGTGGGCATGGCCCATTGGGTGAGTGAGGCCCATTGGGTGGGCGTGGCTGTGGTGGTAATGGCAGACTGGGTGGGACTAAAAAGTTCAATCAATCAATTCCAACTTTGCAAGATTTTTTTCCCCGCGAGAAGTTGAAATTGATTGATTGAACCTTTTTTTTTTGCACACAGCGGTGGAGGCCTAAAGCGAAAAGGTTTTATAAAACCCAGCTGAAGGCCTAGGTCTGGGGCGACGGTGCCCGTGCCCACAGAGAGGGCTCTGAGTGCCGCCTCTGGCACCCGTGCCATAGGTTCGCCACCACTGCTATAGGTCTATCTTGAGTTTTCCAGAATGCACTGAAAGAGATGCCATGCTTAGCTGAACGATTGCTTAAAAGAGTGAAAAGACTCTGCATTTGCTAATTCATATTATTCATGGAGGTTCTCAATCATCCAGTCAGGGATGTCCCAAAGGCGCTTTTTCCAAAAGCCAACTGGACTTTCTTGGTTTTTTTTTCCTTGAAAACATTTCGCTTCTCGTCCAAGAAGCTTCTTCAGATCTGAAATATTTTCAAGGAAACGACCAAGAAAGTCCAGTTGGCTTTTGGAAAAGCGCCTTTGGGACAAATTCATATTGGGATTATTAGTAACTAAACCAAGTCTCCACCTCGTTTTGAGTGGGAAACCTTGATCGCTTGATTGTATTTAAGAAAAATCAATGAAGAATGAAGAAAGCCATTAGGGAAACTGATTTATTTATTTATTTTTGTGTATGGTTTATTATTGCTGACTCACTTGAGAAGTTCAGTATCAGCCTCATTGTCTATGGTGGGGTAGGCAACCTTGGCTCTTTTATGGCTCGTGGACTTCAACTCCCAGAATTCCTGAGCCAGCCATGCTGAGGGAAAAGGGAGAGGTTTCCAAGCTGAGCCATGCTGGCTCAGGAACTCTGGGAGTTGAAGTCCACAAGTCGTAAAAAAGGCCAAGGTGGCCTACCCCTGATCAATGGAGATTCTCAGTCCTCCAGGTCATGGTTGACCCAAAGGTGCTTTTTCAGGAGGCAACTTAACTTTTTCGTTTTTCCTTGAAGAGGTTTTGCTTCTCGTCCAAGAAGCTTCTTCAACTCTGACTGATATAAATCCTTCCATAACCCACCATCCAGTCAGAGCTGAAGAAGCTTCCTGGATGGGAAGTGAAACTTTTTCAAAGAAAAAACAAGAAAGTCCAATGGCCTTGTGAAAAAAACACCTTTGGGACTCTCACCCTTTTTCTTTTTGCGGCACAGCTTATCTTACCTAAATCGTTGTTCTTTGTGATCGCGGCTGCTGCTCTGGTGCGGGGTCCTTGCTGCATGAAGTGATACCCAAACTTAAGGATCTTGGCGTTTTCCTCAAGCATCTTGGCTATCTCCATTTCTACCGGAGTCCCGAGCTGCTGCCTCTGTCAGAAATCATCCAAGGTGGAAGTCAACAAATGCTGGTTTGTTACAAGAGAGTTGTTTGAAGCTGACGGGATGCATCAGCAGAAGCAATGTCAGGATTGGGAAATCCTTCTTCCTTGGCTAAAGCAAACTGCACGGCTTCCATGGCAAGGAGTTCTCACCTCCAAGGGCAAAATGAGCCATCTTTTAAGGTTAGAAACCATGATATATTAAGCTCAAAGGCCTGCACCCCAGGCCGAGTCGTAGTATAGTTTGTCTGATTTGGGCTTGGAGGATTGTGTGGGCCCAACCAGTCTGGTTCATATTAGGTGGAAAAACACTCAGAAAAGAGCTTTGGAGCATTCAGAACTGCAAGGGCAGGCAGCATCTCATTAAAGCGGCTGTATCTTTTTGCAGTGTCAGTTGGGGGAACCACCGCTGACTCACTAAAGCAGCCTTGTCCTTAACATGTTTCTGAAAAAGTTGGAAAAGAGAGGGGCTAGTGCAGGGGTAGGCAACCTTGGCTCTTTTATGACTTGTGGACTTCAACTCCCAGAATTCCTGAGCCCAGCCATGCTGAGGAGAAAGGGAGAGGTTTCCAAGCTGAGCCATGCTGGCTCAGGAATTCTGGGAGTTGAAGTCCACGAGTCATAAAAGAGCCAAGGTTGCCCACCCCTGGGCTAGTGGCTTGGATGGACATTGTAACATCAGAGAAGCAATATTGTGTCCTCTGAACACATCAAAGAGGGCTACACAAAGATTGACTTAGGAAGGCAGTCAGACAAGATGGCCGATCAGTGGGAATCTCCTGGGCTGGAAGGCCTACGACTCTTGTAGTAAGGAGGAAACACGCCAGCCATAAGAGAGAAGAAGAGGAGAGGGGCAACAGGCATCTACTTCACCCTCTACACCCCATTAAATCACCCCAGGATTCTTTGGGCTTCTTCGTTTGAAACTTGGCACAATTCCTACGTCTGCCAAACCACAGCTGACCCAAAACGCTTTGCCCAAACTTCCAGAACGTTTTGGATTGGAGACAAAGTCCACTTCCTATCTCCTTCCCATCTCAACAACAACGAAGCCTTGAAGGAAAGAGACTTCCCCTTTTTTTAGTAGGCTGTGAACAGCACCTTGCTTGTGTTTCCTAAGCAATTCTCCTGCATCAGGGCAGGAAAGCAGCTCTCAAAAAAATAGCCGTCTTCCGGCTTCAGTTTTCAAGCAAGGCTTGGCTGGTCCACCTTTTAGACCCCTCCCTAGATAAGAAGGATGTATTGGTGTTACCTGGTTATCAATTTTGATCTCTGACAAAGTTTCATTCTCTTTCACTGCCTCTACTAAGGCCAGAATGCCTGCGCCGGTGATGAAGTTGGACTCAACATTGAGGCTGTTCAGTGTCTGGTTCACTCGCAGCATGTCTGCAAAAGCCTCGAGAGACAAAAAAAAGCAGCAATGAAGTCCACACTGGACGTGGATTCACAACAGAAGACACCCGTGCTTCTTTACATACTGCATAGCAAATGAGAGAAAGAAGTGGCCCGTAGCTGGCATCTCTCAAAGCTAAAACTGCGATATCTGGGGCTGTCTTGATTTCTCTCTTCCTGGTGCCTTCAAACATTACATCAATGGAGATTCTCAATCATCCAGGTCATGGTGGTCCCAAAGGCGCTTTTCCCAAAAGGCAACTGGATTGTCTTCTTGTTGTTGTTGTTTTTTCCTTTCCTTGAAAACATTTTGCTTCTCATCCAAGAAGCTTCTTTAGTTATGCTGAAAAAGAACCAAACTGAAGAAGCTTCTTGGATGAGAAGCAAAATGTTTTCAAGGAAAGGAAAAAACAACAACAACAAGACAATCCAGTTGCCTTTTGGAACTTCAAACATTGCCTTGTTTTCCTGAATGGCCCTGCTTTACAGAATTGGATAATAATAATAATAATAATAATAATAATAATAATAACAACAACAACAACAACAACAACAAAAAACAAGAACAAAACAACAACAACAACAACAACAACAATAATAATAATAATAATAATAATAATAATAATAATAATAATAATAATAATAATAAAGTTGGAAGGGACCTTGGAGGTCATCAAGTCCAACCCCCTGCTCAGGCAGGTAACCCTATACCATTTCGGACAAATGGCTGCCCAGTTTCTTCTTAAAAACTTCCAGTGTTGGAGCATTCACCACTTCTGGAGGCAGATTGTTCCATTGGTTAATTGTTCTCAGTGTCAGGAAGTTTCTCCTTAGTTCTAGGTTGCTTCTCTCCTCGGTTAATTTCCATTCGTTGCTTCTTGTCCTGCCCTCAGGCGCTTTGGAGAATAGCTTGACTCCCTCTTCTTTGGGGCAGCCCATGAGATATTGGAACACTGCTATCCTGTCCCCCCTGGTCCTTCTCTTCATTAAACTAGACATACCCAATTCCATCAACCTTTCCTTTTATGTTTTAACCTCCAGTCCCCTAATCATCTTTGTTGCTCTTCTCTGTACTCTTTCTAGAGTCTCAACATCTTTTTTACATCATGGTGACCATCGGGCTTGGTGATACATTACTAACTTGCCTCTTAAGTTTAAATATTAGCCTGAAATTAACCAGATGGCTTTGTCCAAGCCACACAAAAGTCAGACTTTCACACTCGTGACAACTCCTCAACTTGAGGGATCTGACCAATGGGAGAAAGCTTAAGCAGATTTGGCCACCCTCTTCTTCTTAAGGACCAATCACAGAACTGGCTCATTACAGTACCTTGGACCACATGCTGGGGTCTCCTCCTGCATCGGATCTGAATCATCAGTTACAGTTGACTCCACAAGGAATCAAACACCCACAACAGTGTTAAGTGTTTATATCAAGAGTCTTCAAACTTGGCCACTTTAAAACTTGTGGACTTCAACTCCCAGAATTCCTCAGCCAGCCCTCAGGGCTGGCTGAGGAATTCTGGGAGTTGAAGTCCACAAGTTTTAAAGTAGCCAAGTTTGAAGACCCCTGGTTTAAATAGACATAAGCAACTGTTGAGTGGGCTGGACCTTTCTCTCCCATCTCCAATGGTCTCATATAAAGACACAGTTGTGAGTGCCAAATTTGCCTCTTTGCTTACAACGGCAACGGGGTCATTGCTCCGAGTGGCTGCAAGGCTGAAGCTCTTCACGTAGGTGTTCGTTTCCAGGGCTTTGGCAAATTCTTTTAGAGTTGGAATGGGAATGTTCTGGAAGTCAAGCAAAAAGGCAAGCTTGTGAATATTGACTGAAACTCTCATTACACTAAAAGGTGCTTCTTTCTTTTCCAAATGTGTGCAAAGAATCTGTGTATCTACAGCTCCCGATATTCTCTTCCAACACATGACCGCAGAGGGCCAGGCTAGCAACTATGGCCCCATTATCACCCTTCATAAATTGCAATTCTGTGAATTCTATCATTGTGATGCTCTGCCCTAAAAGGAATTATTTTACTCCAGGGGTTCCCAACCGGGGGTACTCGCACCCCCTGGGGGTGCGAGACAATATTCCAGGGGGTGTGAAAACTTGGGTTTAGTTTCAAAATTATAGTGTATGTCAGGGGTCTTCAAACTGGGCCCTTTTATGACTCATGGACTTCAACTCCCAGAATTCCTCAGCCAGCGTGCCTGGCTGAGGAATTCTGGGAGTTGAAGTCCATGAGTCATAAAAGGGCCGGGTTTGAAGACCCCTGGCGTATATGCATATATTCACATCTGCATATATTTTGTAAGGGGTGCGAGAATATATCAGAAGCCCCATTATCACCCTCATAAATTGCAATTCTGTGAATTCTATCATCGTGATGCTCTGCCCTAAAAGGAATTATTTTACTCCAGGGGTTCCCAATCGGGGGTACTCGCACCCCCTGGGGGTGCGAGACAATATTCCAGGGGGCGTGGAAACTTGGGTTTAGTTTCAAAATTATAGTGTATATCAGGGGTCTTCAAACTCAACCCTTTTATGACTCATGGACTTCAACTCCCAGAATTCCTCAGCCATAAGTCCATGAGTCATAAAAGGGCCGAGTTTGAAGACCCCTGGTGTATATGCATATATTCACATCTGCATATATTTTGTAAGGGGTGCGAGAATATACCAGAAGCCTTATAGAGGTGCGGGCTATAGAAAAGATTGGGAGCGGCTATTTTACTCGTTCTACTCAATTCTTACCTTGATATTGTTCAGGTTTATTTCAACAAGGCGAGGATCGTTATTTTTAATCCTCTGCAAACAGTCTTCCACATTGGTGGGATTTGGCGGTTCATCAAAAAGTGGGACTATCTTTTCACCTTTAACTACATCTGAATTAAGAGGTAAAAAAAAAACATGCATTACAAGCACTCATTATATATTTTCGTTACAAGTAAAGTCCCTGCTAAATCAAATCTTCCTACAACTAATGCAGGATGGGACTTTTTAAAGTAGTATATGACCCATATTGTCCATGCTCACGCATCGCTGCATTATTACCGTACCAACTCAGAAAGCGAAGAGCAAGTTAATGAATTATTTTAAAAGATAATACATTTCTTTCAGGGTAACCAATTTCTAAATCGCATCCTGGGACAGACTGTCAATAGTTAAATCAACAGGACTTCTCCAAACACTGACATCCAATTTTTAAATAGGCAGTAAAGGGAATTTAGTTACGTTTACGGAGGTAGCCCTATGAAACATATTTAATTAACGGAGTTTTCCTTCAAATTTAATTTAATCAGACACTGGTTTTGTGCATCTGCTTAGGCTGGCCCCACCTATGTGTTGAGAGCTCATTGCCCCGGCTCTACAAAAAGCTGCACGCTTCATCTTCAGACTTTCAAAGTGGACACTCACTTGTGAAGCTCTCGTTGCCAACACCGTTGCTGCTTCCCACAATATCGTGAAACTGAGAGCTGCTTATCAAGTTGTGCATTCCTAGGATGGCTGGAATTAAAGAAAAGAGGGTGGGGAAAGTATAAATCTTTATTGCACTTTATCCTTTCACTTTAAACTGAGGCACAAAGGGGCAATAAAACTTCCCGTTTCCCATGATTACTTCTGCTAGTGGTGAGAAAGGAAGAGGGAAAGAGAAGAGGGTGACTGCAGCCAAGAAATTAAAAGACGCTTGCTCCTGGGGAGGAAAGCTATGGCAAATCTAGACAGCCTACTAAAAAGCAGAGACATCACCCTGCCAACAAAAGTACGTATAGTCAAGGCCATGGTTTTCCCAGTTGCAATGTATGGCTGTGAAAGTTGGACCATAAGAAAGGCTGAGCGCCAAAGAATGGAGGCCTTTGAACTCTGGTGCTGGAGAAGACTCCTGCGAGTCCCCTGGACTGCAAGGCGATCCAACCGGTCAGTCCTGGAGGAGATCAACCCGACTGCTCTTTAGAAGGCCAGATCCTGAAGTTGAAACTCAAGTACTTTGGCCGTCTAATGAGAAGGAAGGACTTACTGGAGAAGAGCCCAATGCTGGGAAAGATTGAGGGCAAGAGAAGAAGGGGACGACAGAGAATGAGGTGGCTGGATGGAGTCACTGAAGCAGGAGGCGTGAGCTTAAATGGACTCCAGAAGATGGTAGAGGACAGGAAGGCCTGGAAAAATGTTGTCCATGGGGTCGCGATGGGTCGGACACGACTTCGCAACTAACAACAACAACAAGCAGCAAAATGGACAGATCCCATCAAGAATATTTGTACACCGGCATTTGTATCCTCGATAAGCAAAACAATTAAGCAACTCACTCCTCCACTCTGAACAAAAGCCCCCTCCCACTGAAAGACATTCACAAATCTGACAGACCTGCAAGATCACACAATTCTGTGTCACTGGCGCTGGTCAGCGCCTCCTCCAGTTCTGGATCAAGCGTCACTTTTTCTTCTGTGTACGATTGTACTGGTTTCTGTTTGGGGATGAAAACTTTTCCTGTTCAAGGGAAGATAAAAGCATGCAATTTAGGATGGCCTCAGTGCTTTGATCTGAACAGTTGGCTCTAAAGCAGAAGTAACCTGGTACCTCTGTTCGGGACTGCCGTTCTTATCAGCAACCAAATATTTTTGAGACCAAATTTTGGATGGAAATTCAAGTCCCAACTTAGCCATGAAAGCCGGCTGGGTGACTTTGGTCCAGTTTCTCTCTCTCAGCCCACCCCACCTAACAGGGTTGTCGTTATGGGGAAAATAGGAGGAGGTAGTGGGGATATGTTCGCTGCCTTGCACTATTTGTAAAAATAATAAAGGCCAGATGCAAATAAATAAAAGAAGTAAGAGGTTTAAATTGTAGAACGGCAGAAATAAATACGTTCACTGAGTGTGCTTGGTTAGAGGGACAATTTATTTTGAATTTCTGAACAGCCTCTTCCAACTCTATAATTGTACTATCTATAATCATACCACACTCTATCATTATACCACATACACACTTCCCAGAATAAAGTGTAAGTATATCTATGTGTGTTTAAATCTTACTTTACTTAGCTGTATGCATGTTTATACTTATAGGTTGCCTCTAAAAAGGGATTTTTGTCTATGTACTCAGGCATCTGTCTAGGCACATATAGGAAGACAAAATGTAGATTATTTTAAACGATACCAAACTAGCCCAAAATAGGAAAGAGAATTGCACAAACAGCTGTGGCTCTCCTTATTTAACTCCCTTCACCATCTGGTTTCTGTTTCTTTTACATTTACTTGCACATCATCACAAGCCTTGGCAGGCTCTAACCTGGATTATTATTATTTTTTTAAGATGAAACGTCAGAACAAACATTTGCAGCATCTGGAATCTATTTCAGCAATAATGCAATTAATGGAAGCCAGAAGACGACTCCAAGGTTGGCATTTTCTTGGGGGGGGGGGAAGAGCCCTTGGGTGGCACACAAGTGTCACAGATGGCTGGTTGAACAAACCATGATTAGCTCGAATCAAGAGGCTCGTGTCGTGTCAAGCCATCAATCGCCATTTATCAATGATCAGGGCAGGGTTTTTTCCCCCCCCAGGACTTCGAGCAAGTAAACAAAAAATTATGCCAGTCTAGATCGCATCTGAACCGTGCTGCTGTATTTCTTGGGGATCAATCTAGGATTGGTATCTTTAGGACGGGAACCAAACAGAGTTTACACAAAACGTGTTGCAACTGTCTCTGTGGTTTTATTCAAATCAGGGGTCTTCCAACTTATTTATTTATTTATTTATTTAATTTAATTTATATGCCGCCCTTCTCCCGACAGGGACTCAGGGCGGCGCACAACATATTTAAAACCAGAACATATATACAATCCCCCCCTTAAAACCGAATTAAACCGAATTTTAATGTTGCGTCTTCCGAATATTTAAAACCCAATGTAAAATCCACCCTAGGTCAGGTCCGCT